ACACCCCGTCCAAAGGCTTGACAATTATTTTAAAGAAGGAGGGGAGTCGAGAGAAAGAGTTCAAACGTCTCTGTCTCCAGTTCTAATTGGAAACGTTTCAACTGTTTATGTTACAAGAAGTGTCAGGGTCATTTGCTACCGGAGAGCTGACTTTTCATTCTCTGCCCTCCCCCTTACGTCACGGGTGGGCGCACCCGCTTCTTACCCGCCCCGCCCCTTTCGCTCTCCAGCCCCACGTGGGGGACGCCGACCACGCCTCCGAGCAAGGTGCGCGTCACCAATCACGGACCGCCGAAGGGGCTCTTCGTTGCTGATTGGCGGAGTTGCTGGGCCTTGTCAGTCCGCGGCCAGAGCTGTCAGTCAAAACCACGCGGGGTGGGGGAGCGCTGACAAATGCCGAGGCTTCTGAGCCTCCCGCTTGCAAATAGTGCTTGGAATGGCTGCTTAATTAGCTTTGAATGGCTTTTCCTTCCAGCTCAAACAATCTGTCACTACCATGTGGTATAAAGGAGCCATGCATAAAAAAGTAAGCAGAGGCTAAATATCAATTTGATTTTGTGTATCAAAGGAATATTTTATTTTTCTCCCTAGTAATGAAACGTATCAATTTAAATAATAAAAGGTAAAAACACACACACAAACAAAAAAAAAAAAAAAAGGAAAAGAAAAGAGGGGAAAAAAAGAAAGAAAAAGAAAACCCAAACTCCACGTTGTTGCGACTCCTGCGCACGCCTGAAACAGGTCACTTCTACAGCCCACGTTCTGGAGGAAGCCTGAAGACTCCCCGCTCCCCCCTTTAAACTTGCATTTAGTGTTTTGTTGTCGTCGTCCTCCAGAAGTCTAGAAGGAGTGGTGGAGGAGGGGTGGCCTGTAAAAGGGGACGTGGGGGCGGGGGATGGGGCGAACTTTAAAGAGAGCTCTTTGAAGCTGCCACTCAAAAAGTAGAGGGGGTTTTAAGACCCCGTAAACTGGGGGTCCTAGAGCAGGTCTCGATTTGGGAGCCGAGAGGAGAGGGGGATGAGAGCGGGTGTGCGTCTCGCTTGAATTTATTAAACACAATGCCTTTAAGATGCCAGGGACGCGGCGCCTCGCCGGGCCTCCCTCTCAGTCTCCCTCTGGACTGGCTCCGACGGCGCCCGCCCGCAGGGGGCTGAGAAGCCCCGGGGCCCCCAGGTCGGGTCTTAGAGGACTGTGTACACACAGAAAAGCACAGCAGCTCTGTCTCTGGCCCGGGTGTCCCTCCTGCCCCGATGTCCACGTCCCCGGTGACCACACAAGCCAGAGCGCTCCCGCAGGGCAGACCCACGTCGAGTTCACCTGTGAGCCCCAGCGCCAGCGCCGAGCCCGGCACGCTGGAGGAGTTCGCGGCTGAGTGTCCCCGACGCGGTTTTGCAGAGCGCCGCCTCCTCCGCAGAGCCGGGCGGTAGAACCACTCTACGCAGTCAGGAAGAACAGCGCTTGAGTGCTCACTGGGTACAAGGCAGGGCACTGCTACCCAGGCAGCGCTCTCCTCTCCCTTACCTCACTCCCGAGGGAAGCGGTTTGGCTGGGGACCCCATTTTATAGAGCAAAAAAGAGAGGCTGAGAAAGCTCAGTCATTTGCCCCGAGCTGGGCAGAGGGTCAGGATTCGAATCCAGTTTAATGGTCAACCTCAGCGACCCCTTTGCTTGCGCAAGCTGGATACGTGAGAGTTTTTGCTGAAGAAAAGACATTCATTCATTCATTCATTCATTCCCAGCCCTTATTGAGAGCCTGGTTTTAGGAGTACAGGCCTCTCCTGCCTGTAGCTCCAACTCACTCCTCACCCAGCGTCGCTCCCCGCTCTCACCGGCTGCCTGAACCCTGAGCAGGAAGGGGGCAGGGAGGTAAGGAACCAGGCCAACATCCCTTTAAGCTTACCACCAATATCTCCCCTTCCCCCCCACCCCCCACATGCCACCCCACAAATTAGGAAAAACAAGGAGAAAAATGCATGTCTTTTATGCTGGAGAAAGAGAAAAGAAAATAAAAAACATGTATACAACACCCCGTCCAAAGGCTTGACAATTATTTTAAAGAAGGAGGGGAGTCGAGAGAAAGAGTTCAAACGTCTCTGTCTCCAGTTCTAATTGGAAACGTTTCAACTGTTTATGTTACAAGAAGTGTCAGGGTCATTTGCTACCGGAGAGCTGACTTTTCATTGGCTGCTTAATTGAGTACCTCGGAGTCCACCCCACGTGGGAGAGGAATTCCTGGCACATTAAAAAAAAAAAAAAAAAAAAAAAAAAGTCGCCCGGGTGAGACAGAAAGCCCGGCCTGGATTTACAGAGCAGCGGCTCCCCAGCCCCCAGCCCCTCATTTGGGGTGCAAGGTGGCTGGTGAGCG